TTGGGTGCTTTGGGGTTTAGGGTTTAGGGTTGAGTCTCAAAGAATTTGGGGCGGGGCTTGAAACTTGGTGGCCCGGGTGTTGTGGGTTTCAAGGCTCGATCCAACCCTAAACCCAAAACCCAAAACGCTAAACCCCAAACCCTAAACCATAACCCTAAACCCTAAACCTTGGAAGGCTTACCACCGGTACCGAGCCGACTTCCAGGACAGCATCATGGAAAGGCTTCGGCTAGCAGGTGCTAGTAGGGGGTGTGGGGGGTGAGGCCAATTCCCAAACTCAAGGTTTAGGCCCCCAGCGCCCGAAAATCCAACCCCTAAACCCTAAACCCTAAACCCTCCTAAAGCCTAAACCCCTAAACCCCTAAACCCTAAACCCTCAAACCCTACACCCACCGGCTGTTTACCTCATTCCGCAGGACCTTGGACTTACAGGTTCAGGCTTGAGGCCTCAAAGTTTAAGGGAGGTGGGAGCCCCAAACTCTCGTTGTACTTTAGGGGCGAGGGTTTAGGGTTTAGGGTTGTCAGGGTTTAGAGACAATAGTTGTGCATTTAGCCCTTCCTAGCTGTAATACCGAAATAGTCTGGCATTTTTTGGAGGGGCCAAAAGGAGCTTCAAGCCTCAAGGAAGGGAACAAGTCATGGTGATGCTGCTTGTAACAAGTGTACCGCATTAGTATTCGTACTTGTATTAGTATGAGCACAAGTATTCGTAATTATTCGTACTAATTCCAGTATTAATAGTAGATATCTCATTTCTCTGACTATTAACAGTAGTAGTAGCCATAGTGGCATTAGCTGTAGCAGCAGTAGCAAACAAGACAGTGACTCAGAGCCTTTAGTTAAACGATCCCAAAGCAAAGCCTCGCTCCCCAAAGCACACACCCACGAGACCATCCGATGGGTATAGGGTTTAGGGTTTAGGGGTTAGGATTTAGGGGTTTAGGGGTTTAGGGTTTAGAGTTTAGGGTAGCGTGCAGAGGAGCTGGGCTACTCTCCCCACTCTTGGAACGCCCCGTCTGCGCGCAAGGGGAGAAAGGAGTTCCTTGATGCCGCGCGGGTTCGTGGGCTTCTGCACCCCGCGCAGCGGCAGCAGCAGCAGGAGGAGGAGGAGTAGGAGGAGGAGGAGGAGGGGAGGAGGAGTAACACTAGTAACAGTAATAACCACTGCTTCTACTGCTGTTACCACCGCTGCTGCTGCTGCTGCTGCTACTCCTCTTGTTGTTGCTGCTTTTCCTACCACTACCACTACCACTACCACTACCACTACCACTACCACTGCTAGTAACATTGACAAGTATGGCCCAGCCATCGTCACTTGAAGATGCATCCCCTCCCCGAACATCCTGTTCGTCACAGGTCATGATGTGTTTGATGATGGTGATGCTTATTGGGCAAAACCGCCATGATGGCAACATCCGTCGCAGCAGGAGGATGTGGAGTAACCAATTACAGCACGGCAACAGCCAATGGCTTGTGTTGACTAACTCTGTTGATGAAAAAGCCGATGGAGCAACAAAACATGTGTGAGTAGCAACCCAAACAGCCAGAAGCCAGAAGCGAAACCTGCCGGGTCAGGCAATCGTGGTCGTGTTCGGCATCACCGCCCGTCAAGCCAAACAAAAACGAGTCAAGGGCAGATGTTGGAAGTACGAATAGCCCTCGTCCTCACAGCGATCTCTGCCTATAATTGCCAGGCCTTCTTGCAAATGGGTAGTTTTCTAAATTAGGGTCCCTTTTAGGGTCCTTTTTATAAGGGTGCCGTATTATATTGGGGACCAAAAAGGGGACCCTAATTTAGAGA